TTCGCCGCGGATCCCGCCGCCGCCGCCAACCGCCCGCCGCCCGCCTCCCTGCCGAGCCTCTTCTCGCTCGACGGCCACACAGACTCCATCAACGCGCTGTGCTGGACGCTGCCCGCCGGCGAAGTGCTCGTGAGCGGCGGTCTGGACGGCCGCGTACGCGCCTGGAAGGCCGACGTCTCGCCCGCCGCGGGCCTCGGGATGACGTTGCTCGGCGAGGCGCAAGAGGTCGAGGAGGTCAACTGGATCGCCGCGTGCCCTTCGCCCGACTCCCCCAACACGATTGCCCTCGGCGCCAACGACGGCTCCGTCTGGGTGTACACGATTGACCCGTCCGACCCCGCCAACCCGCTGCAGATTGTGCAGTCGTACTTTTTGCACACGGGCGGCTGCACCGCCGGCACCTGGACGCCCGACGGTCGGCTGCTGGCGACCGTGTCCGAGGACGGCACGCTGTACGTCTGGGATGTCTGGGGCGCGGCCGCCGCGCGCGGCATCGTCGACAGCAACGGCCAGACGGCCGTCGCGCTGTCCCCCGAGGACCAGCGCTTCGCCGTCGAGGGCGGCCTGTACTCCGTCGCCGTTGACCCCAAGGCCACGTTTGTCGCCGTCGGCGGCGCCGGCGGCGCCATCAAAATCGTGTCCCTTCCGCGCCTCGGCAACACCACCTCTTCTTCCCAACAAAACAAGTCCCCCTCGGGCGTCGCCGACGCCACCACGGGCGGCCAGATCCTCGCGTCGCTGCATACCCAGACCGACGGCGTCGAGACGCTCGCCATCACCCTCGCGCAGACGACGCCCGCGACCGTGCTCCTTGCCGCGGGCTCCGTCGACGGCTCCATCTGCGTGTACGACGCGACGAGACGCTTTGCCGTCCGCCGCCACATTGTCGGTGCGCACGAGGAGCACTCGGTCGTCCGAGTCGACTTTGTCAAGAACTCGTGGCTGCTCACGTCGTGCGGCATGGACGGCGTCGTGCGACGTTGGGACCTCCGGGGGAGCGCAGGGGCAGGCGCGCAGGCGGCCGGCGGCGCGGCGGGCGCCTCTGACGGCGGCCTGGTCAAGGAGTGGAAGGGCCACCGCGGGGATGGCGAGGGCGGCGGCGTGCTCGGCTTCGTGCAGGGCGAGACAGGTGAGAGGGTCGTCACAGCGGGCGATGATGGTGTCTCTTTGGTATTTGAGGCGTAGGGAATTTCAAGGACATTAGGAATGAATGAATATATAAAATGAAAAGGAGGTTTTGCTACAGGCGGCTCTCCGCTTTGAGATTAGATCTAATGATTAAGATTTTCGGGAATCACACAATACGCCTACATGAATAAGCATGTATTCCAGATAGTGACTGTCAACTCCGGGGTGATGTTATCGATGGCCGCAATGTGGACACATGGCATAGACACAAGTCACATCACACAGCATAACGGGACAATAAATCGGGGTCCAGGACCCTTTAACAGAAGTGCATTCTATCGCGCATTAGACTCTCTCAAGAGAGAGCCCAGTTCACCATGCCGAGTCGGGCATGGCAGCTCGCGGCCGCAGCTCGCGGCCGCCACTCTTCCACGGGGAAGTCGAGGCCGAAATTCAAAATTCGAAATTCGAAAGCCAGTGTGCTTTGGACCACAGCCCAAGCACCGAGGGGTATCTAAAAAAGGGCCGTAAATCGTTAGAAAAGGAAACATACTCTCTCGCTGCGTGAATAGAGCCGAATATAGTCAATTGTGTCAAGTCTCTTCTTCACGAGTTGATTCAGTTTCGGCTCATATTCCTCCACGATTGTTGAAAGCCACCGCGGGTGGTGCGAAAGAGAGAGCAAGAAGATGCCCCTAGTACGCCGAGCGTAAATGTTGAATGCCAAAAGGTAGTGTCAGACGCCAGTAACAACTCCTTCATGTGTTTCCCCAAACAGTTGAAGAATAGCAGCTTTGTTTTGCCAATTGCCAAGTGAGATGTTGTATATTGGGTCTCGCTTAACAAACAACAAAAGTTTGCAAGATGAACATGAAACAAGCAAAAGCCAACGCAGAAAAGAAACAAAAGTTCCGACGGTGTATTTTTCCCAGTTCATAAACCTTGTTGAAGAGTTTCGAAGAAGATTGGTGTTAAAAGGTGCAATCCAAGATGCGCGCAGGTAGCAAAAACAAAAACAAAAAAGCATGTACATGGAAGAGAAGCAAAAGTACAGTAGCAGTTGACCTGCTATGCACCTGCCTCTAATTCATGCCACACGGCATTGGCGGGTAGGAGATGCGGCGTCTTTACGCAAGCCGCATCCTCTGCCCAGCGTCACAAACCATGTTAGACTGATATACCTAAAACACAGCAGCATGTGTCTCGTAGCCATGTCCGATGCGGGTTGTGCGAGCATGTGTCTTTATTCAGCATGCCGCTTGAGTCCCTGTAGCATGATTCGGAACTTTTCTATATTCAAATGTAGAAGAATCGTAAAGCTTAGTTGGTGCCAGTAGTGTCCTCGACAGGAGGGCAGGTACAGAACAGGTTGGTGTCACCGTACTCTATACATTTGATTAGTTGCTTTTCTCAAAACACTTGCGAATTTTTCAAACTTACTGTCGTCCACACGGGTAACGGTGGGCCAGAACTTCTTCTCGGTGAGATAAGGCAGGGGGTAGGCAGCCTTCTCACGGCTGTAGGGGCGCTCCCACTTGCCGTTGTCGCCGAGAAGCAGGTCGATCTGGGTGTGAGGAGCGTTCTTGAGGACGTTGCCCTCGCGGGGCTGCTTGCCTTCCTCAACCTCGCGAATCTCATTGCGGATGCTGATGAGAGCATTGATAAAGCGATCCAGCTCCTCTTTGCTCTCAGACTCGGTGGGCTCAATCATAAGAGTGTTGGGTACAGGCCAGCTCATGGTAGGAGCGTGGAAGCCGTAGTCCTGAAGACGCTTGGCGATGTCGATAGCCTCGACACCAGCAGTCTTGGAAAAGCCACGAGCATCGATAATGAACTCGTGAGCGCAGCGACCGTTCTCGTTAGTGTAGAGAATGGGATAGTGCTCCTTGAGGCGGGTAAGAATGTAGTTGGCGTTGAGAAGAGCCAGTGAAGTAGCTTTGCGAAGGCCAGCATCACCCATGGTGGAGATGTAAGCCCAGCTGATAGGCACAATGCTGGCACTACCGAAGCTGGCGCTGGACACGGGAGTCTGGTTGTTCTGGTGAGGCAGGTAGGGCTCAAGGATGTCCTTGACGCAGATGGGGCCGATACCAGGGCCACCGCCGCCGTGGGGAATGCAGAAAGTCTTGTGGAGATTGAGATGGCAGACATCGGCACCGAGCGCGCCGGGAGATGTAAGGCCGATCTGGGCGTTCATGTTGGCACCGTCCATGTAGACGAGACCACCGTGCTCGTGAACAATATCGCAAGCCTTGCGGACTTCGGGTTCGAAGACACCATAGGTAGAAGGATAGGTGATCATGATGGCAGCAAGCTCCTTCTCGTGCTTCTTGGCCTTGGCCTGAAGATCAGCAATATCAAGGTTACCAGTGGCAGTGTCACACTTGATGGGAACGACACGCAGACCAGCCATGGCAGCAGAAGCAGGGTTGGTACCGTGAGCAGAGGTGGGAATCAGGCAGATATCACGTCTGCCACCGTTGTGCTCCTCGTGATACTTGGCAATTGCGCGAAGACCGGCAAACTCGCCCTGGGCACCAGAGTTGGGCTGCAGGGAAGTCGCGTCCATACCAGTGAGAGCGGCAAGCTGGGCGGAGGTGGCGGCAAAGAGCTTCTGGTAGCCCTTGACGCCGGATACGGGAGCGTGAGGGTGGATATTGGAAGACGACTCGGTGCCAATCAGCTCCATCTGGGTAGTTCCATTGAGCTTCATGGTGCAGGAACCTAGAGGAATCATGGAGTGGACGAGGGACAGATCCTTGGATTGCAGATGATGCATGTAGCGGAGCATCTCAGTCTCGGAGTGGTGGGAGTTGAAGACGGGGTGAGTCAAGAACTTGGACTCTCGGCGCACAGCGTCAGGGAGGCTCTTGATGATATCGTTCGAGGACACCTTGTAGCCCTCGGTCCAGTACTTGTTGGCAACGTCGACGTAGGCGTTGGTGTGGTTCTTGGAGGAGACATCACGGAAAGACTGAACAATGCGAACAAAGTTCTTGAGAGTGAAAGTGGTGGGGACAGCCAAGACAATCTCGTTGGAGGACCAAGACTTGCCACTGCTGATGCCGCGATCATTGAGTTCACGGCGAAGGGCGCGGCAGACGATGGGGTCCTTGAAGGAGATGGTGACGGTGTCGGAGAGAACGCGGCCCTCGGGGTCGACGGATGAGGTGATGACGTTGAGGCCATAGTGCTGAGCAGCAGCCTGAATCATGCGAGCGTGGCGGAGATTGGTGACGGCCATCTCGCGAAGCTGACCAGGACCGTGGTAGATGGCATACATGGCAGACATGTTGGCAAGCAGAGCTTGGGCAGTGCAGACGTTGGAAGTGGCCTTTTCACGGCGAATGTGCTGCTCACGGGTTTGAAGAGCGAGGCGCAGAGCGCGGCGGCCGTTGCGGTCTTTGGAGACACCAATGATGCGACCCGGGAGACGACGCTTGCTAGACTCCTGAGCGGCCATGAAGGCAGCGTGGGGGCCACCGAAGCCCAGAGGAACACCCCAGCGCTGAGAGTTACCGAAGGCAACGTCGGCACCCCATTCACCAGGAGGTGTGAGGAGAGTCAGGGAAGACAAATCGGTGGCGGCAGACAGAAGGGTGCCCTGGGCGTGGGCAAGGTCAGCGAGCTCGCGGAAGTTGCGGACACCACCGTTGGTGTCGGGATACTGAACCATGACACCGACGAGGTCGTCGCCAAAAGCCTTGATCTTGTCGTGAGCATCGGGGGCAGAGAGATCCATGACCTCGATGTTGATTCCGAAACCCTCGGCGCGGCCGTGCATGACGCGAATGGTGCTGTCGTGGAGAAGATCAGATACAACGTAGGTCTTGCTGGGACGCTTGGCGCGTGCAGTAGGAAGAGAGTTCCAAGACATAGTCATAGCCTCGGCGGCGGCGGTACCCTCATCGAGGAGGGAGGCGTTGGCGACGGGGAGACCAGTCAGGTCAGAGATCATAGTCTGGAAGTTGAGGAGCGATTCGAGACGGCCCTGTGAGATTTCGGCCTGGTAAGGGGTGTAGCTGGTGTACCAGGCAGGGTTCTCGAGAAGGTTGCGCTTAATAACGGCGGGAATCTCAACGGGGTAGTAGCCACCGCCATTCATCCAGGTCTTGACCTCGTTCTGGGCGCTCATGCTCTTGAAGACATTAGCGACGCCAGACTCGCTGAGCTTCTTGGGCTGAATGGTCTTCTTGGGTGGTAGCAAAATATCCTTGGGAATGACTTGAGAGATGAAGGTGTCGAGAGAGTCGGCACCGACAGTCTTGAGCATGGCGTCAATATCGGAGTCGCGAGGACCGATGTGACGGGCGACAAAGTCCATCCACGGCTGAGGGTTTTCAGCCTGGGCGTCCTTCATCTCCAGGTAGGCCGGGTCGCGCTGGAGAGATTCCAGGGCGGCATGGGATCTCCTGTGGCCGTCGGCCTCGGCCTGAGAAGTTTGTGAGAGCTGGCGGGGGGTGGTGGCGGAAGCCACGCCGCGGCGGGCGACAAAGGGCACCGATCTGATCCCCAGTGAGAGGGAGTGCTTGAGTGGAGCACCCCGGACGATGGCGAGTCGAGAAGCCATTGTTGTGAAACCAAAGAGAGCAATTGATGCTTCAATTTGGCCAATGTGTGTGTCGAAGGAAAAACGGAAGGGTGGGAGCTCAGGCGACGGAACTGTTTCCAGCCGAGCGCAGCCGAGCCTAGAAGCGAACGAAGCTTTTCGATCGCCTACGCCGCCAAGCAAGACAACTCTAGAAACAATGTAAATATATTGAGGCGCCGGTGATGTGAGAAATACGGTGCAAGACAAAGAATTGATGGAGGAGAGGAGAAGAAAATTTGAACTAGAAGAGAGGGAGCCGAGAGTTTAGGTAACTAGGGCACGGCCAGATAACTAGGTAGACGGGTGACGGCCTTGGTGGCGGCAGAGCGCGCCGTACGTAGAGTGATGCGTATCTATTACCCAACTAGATTGGCTCAAAGTAACGTGCAAGTCACAAGACAAGGGGAGTAATAATAATGACCTGAGAATATCCACCAATCTAGGCAATCGCAGCGGAGCGAGTGGATGATTGAGACATGGAGGGGTACATGAAGGGTACATCATATACCCCCATCACGTCCAAAGAATTGACCAAAACATTTCGCACCAAGACTTGTAGGCAGTTCTCGAAGCGGACTCGGTAACTACCTAGAGGCGGACGATATCGGATGCCACCGTGCCGACAACTGGGCGAGTCGCCGAGTTCTAGGGTGCCCATTCGTTGGCGGTCTTGTGTAGAGGAGGCTCTAAGCGGAGGCTGGCCACTTTTAGAGTTGGCGGACGATTCCCCATACATAACTTGGTAAGTTAGTAGTCAACGCTTCCACATATTGCCACATTTTAACTGGATTATCAGCGCGGGACTAGCAGCTTTTTGGGTGTTCGTCGTGGAGTGGTGGAGGTTGTCATGAGTTGTCGTGTGTCACGATAACCAGCAATGGCTGCACCCAAGACGGCCGATGACTGTTGTGGTTGTGCAAAGAGTCTATTTACAGGCTGTCAACTTGTCCGAGCGCTACATCTGCAAGTACTGAGACATGAACTCTACATGCTGACAGTTTTTGACATCGAAACACCTTGTGAGTGAGGATGGCGATCATTTCGGTGCTTGGGTACGCCGGTACCTTTAGTGTACTTCCACGACCCCGCGGTCCGCCACAACGTGCTGTAAACCCCCCCTGCAAATCCTCTGCAGGTTGCAGCACTTACAGCGCCAGTCAGCACTTTACCTGCCCTCTCTCTGCCCTATCCAACCACTACAGCTCCCGTGACACCACTTTGAAATAGCGCGGCAACCAGCCACAAGAAAACAGATCCGCGCCCTCTGTGCCCTTCTGTACCCAAAGGATACATGTTCACTGTAAACAGCTCTGCCGCGCTGCACAACCACAACCCCAGTTTGCGCCCGCCCAAATCCGACATCGCCTGTCCGGTTTAGCTTTTACGTAACTTGTCCACCTGCATCATACCGCCAATTTTTATTATTTTTATATTCCTTCACACACCTCTTTTCTGCCCATCCATATCCCACACGCCGCAAAAATGTTTGGAGGATGTGAGTGTGACCGTTCCCCGCTTGCCCAGTCAAGCTATTTTTTCTTTCCCAATGCTGTGAGGCTCATTGGGTAACGTTGAATCCTTGGCTAACTGATGATCGCTGCAGTTGCTCCCCCACAGCAGTCTGCCGAGGAGATTCGCGCCCTTGAGGCCGAAGCTACCTTTACTATGCAGCAGGTCGCTGCCACGGCCTTGATGCTGTACCTCTGTATGTGAAACCTCTATTCAGAGCCGACGGGTAAACCAGACCGGCTTGCTAACTTCAAAGCAGCCCCCTTTGCCATTGACATGGCTAGCCGCATCTTCTAGAGTCGCCTCATTTCGCTGCGCGCGCGCAACCGTCCGATCATGACCACGACGGTTCTCAATACTGAAGTAAAAACTGGCCAAACCATGAAACGAACCAATACGCAATCGTCAATCGACTTTACGACATTGGAAATGATCTCGCTGTAATTTTTTGCGATGGAGCGTCGACGCACTCCATGCCAACCAGCCTCGGAAGAATACTCCAGTCAGGGGCGCGCATCTGTACGATATGGGGACGAAGGAAAAGTTTTCCACGTAATTGGGCATAGACAAAATACCACAGACCTGTATAATACCAAATCCGACTTCTCGCCATTTGAGGTTATTTACGCCAGGCGCTGCCAATAGGTGAATTTCGAAATATGCCGAGCGTGCGACAGACACGCCAGTTTGTGCTGCACGGCGCAGTCAAGATCAATGGCCAGAAGCTGATCCTTGACGATACGGGGAAGAGCGACCTCAGGCACAGCTGAAACTATTTTCTCCGACAGCTACAGTAATCGAAACGTCACCGCTCATTGGCAAATACCTCATCGCGGATTACTGCTGCAAAATATCGGCAAGATTCTCCGCTCAGTGACGGCATTCGAATCGAAAAGTTGTCATGGTCGCACAAGATGACGGCAAATGGATCATGAATGAGCCATGACCACGAGCCAACGAACAGGCTGAGATCCAATCCGTTTCTGTACATGATCTAGCCCATTTCCTGAAAACGCAATACAAGTCGGCAGTGTATGGATAAAGAATAGAAAACCTCAAGACGCCCAATCCCATAATCACAGCATCCCTTTTACTCCGACAGCATAGCCAAAAGTCGCCTCTCAGCCTTCGTCTCTATCTCGTGCGTACATTCGAGCTGCGACTCTCTTCCCACTCTGCATAGTCCGCACTCAACGACTCAACTTCCTTTTTCAGATGATTGAGCTGCTTCTCGTAGTCTTGCATGATCTATTCCGCACATTAGCACACCACAACATAGAATCACAAAAACAAAAGAAAAGCAAAAGAAAACATACCCGCTTGGCTTTGGTCTGCGTCTCCTCGTCGAGCTCTGCCCCTTCAGCCACCGGCTTGCCCATTTCCTTGCTCAGACGGTCCGAGTACCCGCGCAGCACAATCAGCCTGCTCCAGAGCTCCTCCTCGCGCGCTCCGACAGCCGGGTCCTGCACCTCGCGCTCCAGCTTCTGCAGACGCCGGTTTAGGTCATCCTCGTCGCCGCTGAGCGCATACCCGCGGTTGCGCAGAATCTGCACGCGCGCCGCCAGCGCCAGGCACCGCGCGTGGATCGCCGCCTGCCGCCGCCGCGCCGCCAGCGCCCGCACCTCCGTCTCGAGCTCGTGACGCTGCAGCAGCGCGTCCAGGCTCCCGTTGACCTGGTGCAGCCGCGTGTTAAACTCGGAAATCGCCCGCTTCTGCGTCTTGAGCCGGTCCGCCACCCCTGCGTACCCCGAGCACAGCACCGGCATGAATTCGGGCCCCGGCTTGCTCTGCAGTGCCTCCTCCCACTCGCGCGGGTCCTCATGCGGCTGGGGCTTGTAAAACGGAATGTGCGACTCGTCCACCTTGTTGTAAAAGTAGTGTTTGAACACGCAGCTAGGGTTCGCCGGATCCCATTTTTCCGTTACGAGCTTCATCTGTTCGAGAATCGGTTTCTGGTCTGTCATTTATCGCGTTAGCTTAGAGACGCTTGCGCTCTCACATATGATTAAGGACGAGTTGAAGGAGGTTTGGCAGAGGTTTCGGTCACGTACGAGGAGTTTCCTTGCCTGGCTGCCACAGCGAGCTAGACAGCTGAGCCTGTGATTGTGACAGCGTCGGCATCTGCTGCGTCTGCTGAGGCGGCGACATCACGCTGTTGCCAAGTCCCGTTCGTTGCGGCGTGCCGCCCAGCGTTTGGCCAAAAGCATTGCTAGTTGGCTGTGTCTGCTGCGTCTGTTGCTGGCCCCAGACGCTGCCGGTCTTGGGTTGGCCAAAGAGCGACATTGCAAATACTTTGTATGCGGTATGCAGCTTCGAGAGTTGGCTATTGGTCGTCGATGCGCGATTCAAGGCTGTGTGTTGTGTCGAAGAAGCTGCAATGAAGCAAGTTGGCTGCTGCGCGTGGCTACCAGCGACAAGAGAAAATAACAACACCAAATCCCGTGCAACAACAGGCGTCCACAAGTGGTTGCAGTCCGCAGCTCGTCCAATGATTAGAATGCGCAACGCGCGAATCACGTCCACCCCGCCGAGGTTGATGTCCTTTTGAAAGCTGCTTTCTTTCGTTTTGCAGAGCAATGATTGTGTCAAGATCGGCTGGGAGCTCACCCAAGTGCCTCTTTTTTTAGTGGCTACAATGGCTACAAGGTCAAGGAAAGCATGCTGGCTTGATTACATCAGCCACCAACAAAGCCACATATCAACGGAATCAGTCACCATGTCGACTATATAGTTTGCAAGTGTTGTCAGGCTTCTCATTTTAATTTTAATATCTTTAGCACTATGAATTGAGTATTTGAGGAAAGCGGCATACTAGTTGTTGGTAAAAGCCAACAGAGCCTCAGCACCGCGGCTCAAATTTCAACAGTTGCCAGTTGGAAACTTTGACCACCGCTTTCAACACCCACTACAGCAAAATGCGATTTTCATGTCTCTATGCTCACTGCCCTTACTCGATATTTCGATTTAACCAGTACAATTCAATACATTTATTACACAATAATGCTCTGGTAAAGCTCCGGTTAAACACAACAGTGGTTCAGGTTATCAGGTCCGCGATGCTTAACGCTAGGCCGGCACCAGCCAATCAGAGCTCGGCAATTCTGACCTCGATCAACCCTCCATCCTGTCCATCCTCAGTACCTACTTATTGCTCACATCACCAAAACTTCCAGCTTCTCCCCGCCTCGACCCCCTATCAAGTGTTGCATTTGGCAGCGATTCAGACAAGATGTCGACTCGCAGGCCCCAGTACGTCTACTTCCCGCACCGATTGACCCCCGTCCGCTTCGCAATTGATCCCGCCTGAAATTTCCCGATCCCAAAAATTGGAAAGATGTAACTGAAAGCTGACCCGTCGTCGCGCCTCCACCCGGCAGATTCAACCAGCAGGTCCTCATCGACGCGACCCCTCTTCCCGATGACATCCCCGCTGTCAAGGAGATTGGCGCCAGCTCAGCCCCTCTCCTGTCGGCGTCCTTCTTCATCGGCGCCCGATGCCGCGACTACAATGACGACTACATGCAGTGCAAGACTGAGAACCCCGGCCGCGGCGAGTTTGACTGCATGAAAGAAGGCCGTCGCGTCACCCGCTGCGCCCAGAGCGTGTACGTTTGCAATTCCGCGTGCGAGTTGGCGAGGATGGAGGCGTCGGAGATGCCCTCTGCCCATAGCCAGACCACCGTTTCGATATAAGATGACGACTGACGAGGTGATGATAGCATCAAGGATATCAATACCCACTGCCTGGCCGAGTTCCGCAAGCATTGGGAGTGCCTCGACGATCGCAACCACCAGCTGTGGCAGTGCCGCCCGGCGGAATGGAAGCTCAATAAATGTGTCTTTGACAACTTGGTAGGTTGCCTGGCTGTATCTCGGGATCGCAGTGTCCGGCTAACAAGGTACTTTAGAAACTGGAGAAGAAGATTCCTGACCAGCCCCCCAATGTTGTCCCTGTCGAGCTCCGCCCCAAGCAAATCTTTGCCGACTTCCCCATTGGACCTGGCGAAGGCAAGCCCTTCGTCGCAGGCCAGTCCAAACAATAAAGAATCAAAGTACTGTTTGTATTTTGTTCTTGACTTGGGTTGGGGTGTAAACCATGTACATTTTACTCGTTAGGTTGTCGAGATGAATCAAAAACTATCATTCATGTTTGAGCGCGAAGACGCGGCTTCTTTTGTCATGACCGTTGTAACCATGGTCCTTGGAAGCTTATGCTACAGCTCTTTTTGTTCCCTCTTGCCGTCTCGATGCAACTTCTCAGCACCAATGACGCCGCAAGTCGAATTGAATTTGGGATGTAGGGTAGTTCCTGAACCACTTTATGAGCCACCTTGTACCAGCCACTAATGTCAAACGGGACCTAGGAAAGTCGCAAAAGTGTCAATGTCATTACGTTCCATGATGCTACTGTCAATCGTGCCACGTATTTCGTCGAATATTGAACAAGGTGGCTGTCAGCCCTGTCAGCCTCTGCGTTCATGTCAGAGCCTAGACGCTACCACGGACAGGGGGTGAATGGCAATATTCCCAAAGCAACAAGACGTGTGAGAGATTCGGAACGCCCCCAAGAGGGGTTTCCCTTTTTGTAGGTAAGGTCGCCTGTATTCATCCTGCTATAGTTAACGCGGTGGCGACGAAATCGTGGTCCGCAGCCAACATCTCCCTCCTAGACGACCTATAGTCAATGAAATCGTCCTTTCTTGAAGCTGATCACAGGATGGATGGAATGATATCTCATAAGAGGCACCGCGTATCGCGCACAGTGAACTAATTGGTATCAGATTTCGAGGATATTCGAGTACGTCAATCCTCCCGGTGCTTGCTCGATCACCGGACATTGAGTTGAACCTCGAAACAAACCCTTTCCAACAGAGGAAGGTCTGCGGCGACTATGGTGCTACATGAAAGGACAAAAAAAAGGTCAAATACAAAAAGAAATATCTCTGCGTGATCTGGGAATCGAACCCAGGGCTCCCCGACGTTGCTGATGGCAACGGAGAATTTTACCACTAAACCAATCACGCTGATCTTATCTGATGATCGAGACCGAGCTGTATCGTGATTTACGTAAACACCAGAAGTGTTCCCTCACATCAAATTCGGCGCAGCACTTGAATTCGATGTCAGGACCAAATTTCATCGAGATGGCTGAACCGGGCTTTCCCAGTTCCTACTTTGTAGAGAAGAAAAATTTGTCGGAACGGCCCAGACCTCTCAACATGGCGTGGTGGCATTGGGAAGGCTTGCATTGCCGCCGCCATCGAACCAAGAAAAAAAAGTATAAAGCGAAAAAATTGACGAGAGCAATATAAAGAGGGTGATGAGATGCCAGGACTTCTTGAACATGTCCTGCCATTCTTTCCTCAAACGTCAAGAGCTAAAAGCGACAAGATGGGTATCGGCAGTTTGATCTCCAGGTTGGCCAGCCAAACGGCAGAGGCATACTTCATCAAACGCATGATGAATAGAGTAACTTTCCCGGAAGCACGTGATGCCGGCTCTCTAGCGAACGAGATAATTCAGCGAGTATATTCCTGGTATTCAAACTCAGCAGGAGCAGTTGGAGGTATGGGCCAGTATCTGGCACCCTTTTCGTTATTCGACAGAAGCTAACACGCAGCCAATCTTTCTTAGCAAACCTCGAGGCTTTCCCCAAAGACTACTCCCAGCTTGCCAAGGTCCTCAAGGAGATATTCAGCCCTCAAACCTGCCATGAATTTGAGTCAAAATGTCTTGCTTATGACAAGCTGGTGAAGAGAAAGCCCACGAGACGCCTCTGCTTCCTCAGCGAATCCCGGCTGGACCTCTCCAGCGCCATGATTGCGGAGCACACCTTCAAGTACTGGATCGAACAAATATGCATGGCTCTGGCCAGATACAGCTTCCGGTATGCCGCGGAACAGTATAGAGCGGGCATCAATCCGCGGGCCCTGCAGAACCCGGCTTTCGAGAGCCTGGTGGGGGAATGGCCGCGCGCATACAGTCCAAGAGTTGGGGACCGTAACGGCATGGCTATCACGCAAATTTACCTCCGAGGACCTGATCTGATCACGGCCTGGGAAATGTGCAGCATGACCGAGGAGCTAGAGGCCATGGCTCCCAAGCAGAGCACGTGGAATCCTGAGCAACCGTCCGGGTTTCCTGTCTATCACGCCACCGCGGTCCATCTCAACGAGTTTGCACAGTATCGTCGGGGCTTGGTCGTGGCGCCCGAGCTGAAGCTTCCTGCGCAGGAGCACATCAACGGGGTGACGCCCAGAAACGCGTGCATCCGCACCGCGCGGACAACGTATACACCCCTCCGCACCCTCTTGTCCGCCGTGTTTGAAGCAGAGGTGATTGGCAAGATGCCGTCGGGGAGCAGAGACCGTCCGTGGAGGTCGGGCAACAGGGAGTACGAGGGCATCATGCTCTTCCGGTTTGGTGGTCCGTGGTCGTCTTCCGCGAACTATTCCTCGTACGTTATCCCCGACGGGTCGCAGTCGGAGTGGAAGGCGACCGCGAGCAGCACCGTTGTGGCGCGTGGCGAGTCTCCGGCAGAATGCTGGAGCTATTTTGCGCCGATCCATGGAAAGCCGCCAGGCATTGACTGGCCAGTCGTCATTCATCAGAGGGAGGCCGCGAAGCATCGGATGGCTCTCGCGCCTATAACCGACAGCCAGATCTGGCACAGTACTTGGTGCAATAATGGTATCGTTAGGCTCGGTGAAAACATTACAAAGACCTTTGCAATCAAGTACATCATCAAACCAGATGAAGAGAGACAGTCACTGGGTGGATTAGGTGGATTACTGAAGAATCTGACGGGAAAACGACGACATGGACAATATCGAGAAATCGACGGGTAGACGACGGCCGGAACATTATTCAGCAGAATGAGGCACGAAAACAAGCTATGATAGTAACTGCTTACAAATAGTATAATAATCAAGTGATGACGTTGAAAAAAGTCATGATTCGTCTTTCGTAGCAGCGATGAGGCGTGTAATGACATTGCACGCATGTGATCCTGAATGGATCTCGAGGCCCCTCGTTCGTCTCATCTTTGACATTACCCACCCAGCAGCCCCTGTTGCAATCATAAAATTGTCGAACGCGGCTTTTCATTTTATTCTTTCTTCCTCATGAACCTTCCCGATCAGGAAACTCATGCGCGATCTGCAAGATGAGTGAGTTCTTTGCCAGCCCGACCCAGTGTGGCTTGCCGGGGCTTGTTTGAGAGTGAAAACGGCACACATGGCGGATAATTTGCCAAATAAAACTTTGAAACACAATTCTGCGCAATTTTTTGTTTATTGTATTTTCCTTTCCTTCTCATTCAGCAACTACAGGGCACATCTCCCTCTCCACATGTCAAATTGTCGCGGCGCATAAACTGCAAACTCATTATTTACAAAGCCGGAAGCGCTGTTCTTTACCTAAACTGAGAAGCGGTGTGCTATCGCATGACTCTCGCCTCTCTCACCTCATCAGCTGCCGCAGCAACATCCGAGTGGGTTCGGTCTGCCGTGCGATCGTCAATTTGTAACGCAGGCCGCTGTCGTGCTGCGACAGAGACCCTCGGCAGGCCCTCCGAGACATCTGGAGAGAGGTCGACACTCTGATATTATTGCTCATTCGCTGATATCAATGCGCTCCGATTGCTGACCATTCAATGCCAATTCATCTCACCCAGTGAAGCTAGATTTGTAAATAAAGTTGGCTTGAACATGGGTAGTACGCCTGAAGGAAAATGGCCATACCATGTCTTGAATCAATTTGTACAGCTTGGCCCTGGCCGCCCTGTCTTGTTTAGAAACACGATTGTCGCTTGCTAGAGTACGATTGCAACAATGGGTTTCACGCCAAGGTGAGTGGATTTTGCCAGGTTTGTTTACAGGGGCATTCAAGACACAAAGAAACAGACACAAAGAGTTCGAGGCTCGTGCAGTAAATAGACGGTCTCTACGTATCTGCCGTCTGTTTCTCAGCAAGAAAGCAGCAAGAACGCGGCGTGCGTGTTCTGCTTCTTTCGTAGTACCATAGACCTTCACTTTCACTCAGCTGTATATTCGCACGTCAGCCAAGAATGGACACGCTGAGCAGTCATCACTGTAGAACACCATACACTATGCAGATTGTGAACAACGTCGCCAACATGATTTTCTGCAGACTGATGTAAGCTCGGCACACGAGCAATTAGCGCAGCTAAGTAGCATTCTAGACCTCGAGGTGAGCCACGGCGACTTCAGTCTGACTCCATCTTCCGGTCCGGCAATTTGCTCCCGGCCCCAGGGTAAAGAGCGCATGTTCTATGTAGATGACCCGATATCGCGCAACCTAACAGCTGTTCAGTAAACAAACTGACTGGACAAACAAGCGCGGCTACCATCCTGCGTGAGATTGAGTCAGGGGTTCTTGTTAGTGGGGTGCGTTATCCAATCTCACGGCCGGAGGCCCCGGATGCTGCGCGTGTTTGTCGTTGGCTGTAAATTACACCGCGGTGGCTGACAATACCAGTAACATTGCATGGCCCTGACCTCAAGGTGACTGAGTTATCACATGCATCATCAATGTTACACAAGAGTCTTCCAGGACTGTATGTAGTCTTGACAATTGAGACAGGCTCACTCATGTCGTCGCTGTTTCTGGTGTGCGAGCGAGACTTGGTAAGGCGCATTCACTACACAGTACGCCACAGTAGGCCAGTTCGTTGCAGACTTTGGAACTTTGGCACTGTGATATCCGTACATACATACTGATAGTTGGCTCTCAAGTCGGCGCTGCAGGCCCGGGTCCGTCGGCACTGCACTATCACCATCAAGACAATGAAGTGACAAGGTTCTCCGGCAAGTATCTACCGTCGAAGCATGGATATGGAGGCCGTTATATTACAATATACTACGCAAGGAAGCTATGTGACGAGCCACCACCGGAGATTCTCTCTTGATCGAGGCAGGCTCGGAGCAATACCACGCATCCTCGCTAGAATGTGAAGGGGATGGGCGCATCTGGGCCAGACTTTGCTTGATTCTTGGAGCCGGAACACGCGTCCTGCCAAGTCTCTTGTGTAGCAACGAGCAGGTTGTGAACTTGTGCCAAGGACGTGGAGATGTGGCCATTCCAGAAAAAGGCTCCTATTCAGCCCACTTGCCAAGTTGGTGTAAATTATAACCCGCCGTTGGAAGAATTCGACATAGATGCAAGAAAGGAGTCCGGGGTGCAGCATATGAGGGGAAAGGTCTCAAAGGTAAACGGACGCTGACTGGGTGAGTTTATCTGGTCGAGACAATGGACGGGGCGGTGGATAGGGGAGGCCTGGGGAGGGGAGCCACGGACCCAGCACAAGGTGGTGTCAAGTTGATCAACTGTCAAGCAAGGTTGTGCGAGACAAAGAATACAGATGCTGCGTCAATACTCGGTACAAAAATGACTTTACTGCTGCAGCTTGCTTCGGCCACGGCAATGAAATGCAGGTGCTGTACCTAGACGCAGCTGTCCTCGGTCGAGCACGCGTTAATTCGGTAGTGCGGTACAAGGAGGATCATTACGCTATTTCATTCAAATAGCGTTGTGCCTTGATGCTGGTACATTGTGCCAGGCGCGGCAGTGTAGGTATGTGGTTTTGCGGGCATTCATTCATATTGGCAGCAATGTGGCCAGTGCGCTGGTAGGTGACGCTGCGCTGGAATGTGGTGTCCGGTTGTAACTATGCGCGACTGTAATCCATAGACGGCGAGAAAAAATTGGATCAATCTTGGCTCGAAGGATATCAGTACTTACTTACTCTGTACGACAGAATGAAAAAAAAAAAACACGTCTGTGCAAACCGTCTGTGCCGAACGAAGGTTGAAGAAACAAGAGGTGAGCCCCGCTTGCATGTGGGTTAGTTGGGGTGCTCGGGCGAACGATGAGCGGAAAAAAAAAACTTTGTATTTTCCGATGGTGTGATTAGAGTGGAAGGCTGGGGAATAATACAAGGGACATGGGCAGGTAAGGGTGAGGGCGGGAAAGCCGGCACGTCATGCACCGAGGCGGGGAGAGTAGGATGGTGCAAATGAGGATCGGTCGCTGGCATAGTAAAATAAATGAAGAGCTCCTCACAAATTGCTCTTGAAGTGGCACATCGGTCGCAGTTGCAGTTGGTTGCACCGAGTAAATACAGCGTGCGAATGGATCCTCGTGATGGCGGGGACTTGGCAACTGGCAAAGTGCTAAAGGGCCAAGGAGGGCCAGTGCGTGCAACCATGTGGGCGCGATATGAAGGGGTAATAAATCTGGGGTGGGTATTGGGCTAGACCTAAACGAGGGCTAAAGCCGTTTCAGGGATCAGAGGAAATCAGAGAGGAAAAAGGCACAAAGGGCGGTCTTGGAGGTTATTTTGATTACCTAGCTAAACCTAGTTCTTCTCGCGCCAGAAACAAGGTAAAGGCTAAAACCCAGGCCCGGGCGGCTAAATTTATGGAATGTGTACTGGTATCAAATAGTTGGTGCTTCACTCATAACGCGGTGGCGTTTCTTTCTGTTCTTTTCCCTCGAGGCTCTCCCGATGTCTTAGAGTAACGTGGTCAAGAGGGTCGATGACCCCTGCTGGCAATCGGCGCGACACAAGTGGGCGTCGTGCAGTGTACTGAGTATTTATGATTGATGGGCAGATGCGCAGGACAGGAACAATGGTTTTGTATTATGCAGACGAAAAGGCTTAATTAAACTCGATGCCTGCCATGGCAATGAAAGTGACAAATCTCCACTGCAGGCCAGTCCGTTTCGCGCCTCGTCCGTTTGAGATAGAAACAAAGTTTGGTCATTGCATCGAAGCGGCTGCTCGCGTCGGCATTTCTGAAACGGGGCCTGCCATTGTTCGCAATGCGGCTTTTCTGGCACCCTGCTAGATGTCGCGAGATCTTTCTAACTAGCCCTATCATCTCGGGCTGAGAAAGACTGGGCCGTGACATTTACATGAAGCGTGGTTTCGAAATTACCAGCTAGGAAGTAGTGGGAGATTCATCTGAATAAAACATTGCGTAGACTAGTGTTGCGCGGTTTTCCCCCTCTGTTGGTGTTTATCAAACTCTATATCTCTACTTTATCAAGCGCGCCGCCAATTGCTACCAGTAAATTCATCACTCCGTATGTTGACTGGCCGCAAGAGCCTGACAAGCAAGGTAAACATAGAGAAGGCGCAAGTCTCATCTGCCCATGTCTGCTTTCTCCGCATCCTGGATGTAGTGACGGAATACTCCACGCTCCCATCTTAGACATGGCGTTTTGTCTCGCTGCCGCCCACGTTTAGTTGGGATTACCTCGAGTCTACGGACACAGGGTACGGATATGGCGATACCCGAAAAAGCTTTTGATGAGGTGGAGGAGAATGAGCAGCTGCCTGCCTATTTGGTCAGCGAAGATATTATGACAAGACGCGGCATAAAGTAGTAGAATTGACTTAGGCTCCGTAACAGTGATTGCAGGCCCGAGGCCGTCTTTTACATGGCGCCCAGTGCTACCTGGGCGCTTTCCAATACATTGCAGTGACCTCGCTTTCTGACACGACCCGCACCACCTTCTAGTGAATCTCACAGGCGTTGCTCGGACGGTACTAGCGCCAGGGGCGAGAGCCAGCAACATGGGGTAGATGCACGCCCCCTTTGGCGGCTCAGCCAACCAGCGTCGATGGTGCCTGGCAGCGGAGTGATGCCCGGTGGAGCCGTTTACTGGCCGCGTGCCCCGTCGGTTCCTGCCCCATGTGTGTTTGCTTTGCCACCTGCCAGAGTTTTAGGCCACCAGCTGGTAAGCGAAAAAAAAAAAAAGAGGGAATAGTTGCCAGATCATAGATCACAGCGTGTCGCAGATACGCATACATGCACCCGCGGATGCATGATTCTAAACTCTCCAGCTAATAGCACCACGAGTGTACCAGTAGCCGCCGTCAGGCCCTCTCTTACCCCTGACCCTGGCGTGGCCCTCCCTTCGGAAAAGCAAAAGCCCCAGAACTCTACAGCAGCCCCACAACCCCAGCAGCTAGTCCAGTGCCCGTTTACTGGTGTGCTGCAATCCGTACAAGCAAAAACGCACGGCGCGGGTCTGCCAGCTGCCACTCAGAGTCCGTTTGCCCTCCGCTGGGGCGTCTAGCTAATGATCTTCAAGGTGTAGCGAGGCGTTCCCCTTTCAATCTTGCTTGCTCACACCCCCCTTCCGTCCCTTCCTTTGCTTGCCACTTGCTGCCAACCTGCCTGGGCTTCCCTTGGCCAGGTCAGGTCAGGCCTGGCCTCCATGGCATGGCCCTGGTCATCCCAAATATCTCATCCCACCGCTCTCCTCCCGTTCCTTTTACCTTTCACCCTCGTTCGCCGCCTCTATTCATATCCGATCCTCTTCAGCCTTCGCTCCTCTATTTTCGTGTCATTCGCCTCGACACTGTCCGCTCCTTTGAAACAGTCTTCTTTTCGTCACTCCCTATATATCAAGCCGCCCTCTCTCTTTTTGCCTCGTCGATCCTCCTTCGTCTTGTCTCTCCGACTTGCCAAGCTTGAGCTGGACTTCATTTTTGCAACGTACGCAAAAGCCGACTCGCCACTCTCCTTTATTCTTGTCCACGATTTCATTTCTCACGCTCCTTTTTTCACTCTAGTTCAGACTTTCTTGTCAATTGCTGCAACGGCTGGTCCTACGCAAGCAGAATTTAACATCTCTTGGTTTCCCCTACCGTCTCAAAAATCAACAATTTCGACAATACAAAGCAAAGGTTAGTAACACGTTCCAGCCTCACTGCAGCCCTCATCCGCCGTCCTGCCTTGCCTCAGTACCGCGTCTTTGCGAACTTGGATTTCTTGCCCATACCTTTGGCCAATACCGTACCGTACTCTCGATTTCTTTCCGCCCCGCCTCCCACCCCTGTTCTGTGAACATCACCGGCGAATCGCCTCGGCGCAACGAACTATATCTGTTCTCACGGCGCCTCGTTCTCTTTGCGTCGCCAATCTGTCGCGGACCTCACTCTATTATGCCATCTTTGTACTCGAGTCCGCCAACTGTTTCGGCCCTCAACCTCCCGCAGCAGTCGCGAGGCACTTGCAGTAGATGTCTCACCTGGCATTTCATACATTCCTGCCACCGGCACCCAAGCAACCACCGCCCACTATACCTGACCCGCGGCCGACTACTGCAACGCCAATATCGTTGCGCCTTGCAACCATTGCATACCGAATACAGCCAAGACAGTTTCTCCGTCACCAGCAACATTTCTCATTCACATTCATCTCACCACTCGCTCTTACGAAACTTGTTAACTAACACATGCTACTCCAGGTTTTGCCTTCTCAACCCTTTGACAAGATGAAGTCCTCGCTTGCTCTTCTCGCCACTGCAGCTGCCGTCAGCGCCGCCGTTACCAAGACAGAATGGATTGTTGACGTCGTTACCGTGACCGTGACCGTTGACCCTAGCGACGGTGTCCAGACCTCCCAGTCTATCTCGACTCCTACTCCTGAGCCCGTCAGCACCTCGTCTGCCGCGCCATCGCCTCCCTCCCCTATCAGCGCCATTGCCGAGGAGCCTCAGTTCATCACAACCACAACCACAACAACCGAGGCTCCTCCGACATCGACTATTGAGCCCGAGCCTGTTCAGACTTCCGCCCCCGAGCCTCAGCCTGAGACCACCACCAAGCCTCAACCGTCTTCGCAGCCCGAGCCTGAGACACCGGCTCCCGCCGACGGTTACCAGGCCACTGCTATCAAGTACCACAACGCCTACCGCGAGGACCACAGTGCTGGCAAGCTTTCGTGGGACCAGAAATTAGCCGATTACGCTCTAGAGCTTGCCAAGTCTTGCGTATTTGATCACAACACGTAAGAGCCATATTCCGCCACATTCGACATTGATCTGCATACTGACAGTCTGGTAGGACAATGGGCGGAAAGGATTTTTCGTACGGTCAGAACCTTGCGATGTTCGGTATTGGTGGAGGAGACCTGGGGACCATGGATGCAGCCGTCGGCAAAGCCTCCAAAGATTGGTATGCCGAGGTCAAAGACTACGGCAGCTCTTACGGCCAAGGGGACCCTGCTACTGGCGCCATGATCGGTCACTTCACTCAGCTTGTGTGGAAGAACACAGAGACGGTCGGCTGTGCTACCTGGAAGTGCGACTGGGAGATGCCCTCGATGTACACTGTCTGCAACTACGGCCCCCCTGGTAAGATGCATTGACCTTTGTCGCATTTTGTTACATAACTGACTATTTCTAGGCAACGTAAAGGGTCAGTACGGTAAAAATGTCCTGCCCTCTCTTGGCCTCAAACTCAGCCTGTAGGAAGTGGTGCAACTGCCAATGAGTTCCCGTCGTGGGTATCTTTTACGTGGCTAGCATGGACGGACGTAGCATGAAGAACCTAAGGGCTCTTATGTCTTATGAAGACCCAAGGCGCTTTTGTTTGGGCGTGCAATGCCGGGACTGGACAGAGTGTTCGCATCTGGGGCAAAATGATATGAAAATTTTTGCTTCTCTATGTACCTTATGCGACGTTGTACTTAGATCCTATCTATGTCTCAAGCTGTTTTTTCCCTTCTCAATTGTGAAGGCCGCGGTTAGTCTGTTGGCATATTTCTGACTGCTAGTCCGGTCTTCTTTTCTTCTTATATGACAAATTTTGATTGTCTTTTACCTTTTTCTTACTTCAGCATCTCTGTGGCGTGAGGATTTCGGCTTGGACAAGGAGTTGCCAGTCGTCTCTCTAGAGACAACAGCACGGGTGCAGACTAAAATTCATGTTTACGGTCGATGAAATTATACCCCATGTGCGTCCATATGTTTGTTGTACTTGATGTTCCGGGTCGACGGGTTCCGATGCGAATTGTGAGACCAGCAAAACAGGGGTATCGCATGTTGAGCTTCCGCCAACTCTGTATTCAAGGCATTCTGCCCCTTGCGATGCGGAGTTTAGATCAGTAATACCAACCGGATCGATTGTTCTCACCGAGAAGCGGATGTACACCCTCAACGACCAGTGCAGGAGGCCTGTTCTGCAGTCACCGGAACCGGCCATATCTGGTTTCTACCGGCACTCATTAACCTTTAAAACTTGCCGTCTGTTGGTTCGAAGCGGGCAACTGTGCCAAACTCTACGCTTCTCTGTCTTGAATCAGTCTGGGAGCATAATTACATGATAGTTTGGCCCGTCATGAAGCTTGTGCATTGCGGATGCGAGGTTGCTTCTCTCGTCTGGCAGGCGCATGGTGGCAGGGACACATGCAGCGCGCAGTCGACGCCATGGAGTCAAAGTAGAAATGGGCACCAGACAGACCGGAGCCGTGGTCTCGCGGATGTGGTGCGGCTTTCTTATAATTTTGCAAGACTTTTACAGTGATTGTTATCGCGGTCCAACGGCGTCTTGCCATTGTTGCTCGGACGACAAATCGAAGCCGATATTTCGATATTGGAGCCCCTACGTTGGGATTTGAATGCCGTGGTTGGGTTCGAAAACTTGTTGCTGCCGAGCCAGGTTACGACAAACTTCCATCAGTGATGAAAAAGAAGCATGGCTTCGACACGGACAAACGTGAAGCTGGCAAGGCATTCTAGAGCCGGGCTCGGCCATGAACATGACCACTCTCGTTCAAGCGCCTTGTGCAAATGCCGGAAGCTTTTTTTTTTTTTTTTCAAAAAAAAAAAAAAAGAGAACTTGTAGCGGTATCGTTGATGAGCAACATCATCTAAAGCAGACATCCATCATCTCTGGATGGTTGACATCACTAGTGGCTTCCTCATACTTTTTTCGAGATTGTGTAAATACAACCAATCTATATACAAGGAGGATCTGATAAGAAACCGAGAGTCGGGTCAAAGGACTCGTGCAACGAGGAAAAAAACATGTGTACTTGCAGCTTTTACATGTCGAACCTTGAGAAGAGTAGACTGGTAGAAAAGAAAACCGTCTGTAAAGCCGCAGCCGGTGATTCGAAAATACTTGCCATGTCTTGGAAAGATGTTGTTTGTGATGCTGATTGAAGCATCCGCACGCATCTGGGGCGAATTTGGCTGTTTGCGCCAGCGGCCGCAACTCCGCTACGATGCAGCGTAGAAGAAGTTTGTTATCAAGACAAGCAAAGCAGTGTAAAAAGTTCAAGAAGAAAAGACGTGTGAATGCCAACTGCTTGAAGAGGGAGAGCGATGCATGCTGCCACCACAATGATAGATGAGACGACTCGTCTCGTCCATCTCCCGTCGTATCAACCAAACAAAGATACTCCGACATCAGACATGCCATCGATCAAAAAGGCCTTTCCTCTATTCTTACTCTCCGATTCCCCTCCCTCTCTTGGACCGGGAATAATAAATAACCTGCCCGTCCATCCAGCTTAGCTTTCCAAGTTCACCAAATTTCACATCCGTCGTTCCTCTTTTACCCCGCAAAGGGCCGGGCCTTGATCTCAAGGAAACATCACGGCATTGAAAAGCGCGGCATAAATGATTGACAAAACGAATCGCATAAATCGAAACAGGCGTCCATGTATCAAGAGTGAGTGGGCCACGAGGAGAGGAAAAGCCATGTTTGAAACGCATGATACACCCCTAAGAGCCTCTCCCACCCAAGGTGATGCGCGCTTCCTCAAACAAACCGCGGACTATCCCCCGCAAAACCCAAATAGAAAAAAAAAAGCCCCAAGCCCCAATTCTTTGTGACAAGCTACGGGAATGGGCTTCATATTTGCATGTAGTTCCCGTCCGCGACAACGATAAACCTGCTCATCGCGGCGGCGGGGCGTTGTACGTGGTCGCGATTCCGCCCCGGACAATGCCTTGCCTTTCAAAATCCTTTTTAAAAAAACCTCTGCACAAGTTAATTCTTTCAGTCCGATTTAGATCCCCAAGGGCTGCATCGTAATGTACGTAATTCACGTGTGGCTGAGGAGGCGCATCCTTGCTGGGCGAGCGCACGGAATTCGCAGCGTGGAATCCCGGCCGGCCATTGTTTCCATGACGGCATCGATCTGCAGGGTTTCTGGCACGATGCCCACGTTCTTTGAACAAGATCATATGCAAGGATCAATAATAACCCAGCATAGAATAACCAACAATACAGGTCTCTATTCTCAAGTACATCCAGGAGGCTCGAGTGCTTTCGGCAATGAGCAGGTCATCCAATAGCGCACCAATGCCCACTCTTCCTCCACCACTAACTACCACTCAACACTATCGCTCTGCACAAGTCAGGACTGATGCCCAACCGTCATCATCGAGTCGCCGCCAAGAATCAAGCTGTCAGTTGTTTTCAAAAGGAAAGCAAATGGTTAGCGTGGTTTCTGGCCAGCTCACTCATGTTTTGCATCTGGTTCAGCCATGTGTCGCTGGCGGCCTTCTCCTCATCCAGCCTTGCAGTGCGGCTGGACTAGAGTGCTTACTTTCTAGGCAAACCAGGCGAATCATGATGCTTCAAGTAGCGGATTTATGACAGCTCAACACGCCGCAGCGTTGTGTAGTTCGTTTACTCTGAGTCTCACATGGCTCAGCTGCCAACATTTGCATACGCTACAGAAAAGCTGGGGTAGAGACCAATGAATACGAGGCTCGCAGATACCAAATACGCGCGCGGGATTGGCAGCCTCGCTTTACTGAAAACGTACAATCTCACAGACTGTTGGACATGACCTGATGACTCTCTTTTCGATCCAACATGGGTCAGAAAGATCCGCGATGCATGTTCGAGAGGGCGTCGCCGGCGCATAGAGGCCCAGCAGACAACATCTGCCATCACGTCGATCGTCAGCTTCGCAAAGCTACTGCATAAATAGTCGAACAGACGAGAGAGCTTGGCATTGGGAAAACGGCGCTCGACTTTGGCCGCATTGCAGATGCACATGTGCCCTCTTGCCATCTATCAGCTCATGGTCCGCATGTGAGGGCAACGGATTTCTAGCTTGCGTGTATGGTTGCCTCGGGTCAGCATCTTGTTTGAACTTCGATTGGATCCACAGCCAGTTGGGGGAACAAGAGTGCCGGCAGGCAATAGAGAAGCTTCATTTTAAGCCTCATCCTGTCTGCCAAAAGGCCACTTGCGTGAGCATGATGCGCGGGATGTAGGAACAACGTGTTTTGCAACATATTCCAGAACCCTAAAACTCGTAGGTCAAACCCCATGGCTAGCTTGTCCAGTATGCCAAGCAAGAATCGGTATCCCTAGAATAGGTATTCTCCGAATGGGTTTTCTGAGAATCGGCCATTGACCGAGCTTGGTTCATCCGCTAAAGCAACAATTGGCGAGTGACAAGGCTATCATTGCCACTTGCACTTGTCGGCATCAATTGCGATATTTAAACCCTGCCAAGCATCGCTGGCCACAGCCTCTCGTCCAGCTGACCTGCAAGGTATGGAGCAACGATGCTGAAGATTTCAGCTGAGAAGCAGAAAGCCGCATCGATACTCGATAAAAACCTTTGCATCAGTGTGCGGGAAAGATGTACTATGTCGTCATCAGATAATACTGACGTTGTTTGCATAGTGGCCTCCAATAGCCGACATGCAGCAAATCGGCCACGGCTTTTCTAATCTCAAGTCTATGACGAGAATAAGCGCTTGAGCGGCAACAGAGAGGATTCGTGAGCGATCATCAGGACGAGTTGCTGAGCGTACCGCGGACAGAAGAGCCTGTACGTATCAACAAGAGGGCTTCCCAAACCTTTTCCCCAGCTAGGTCTGCATCAGCCGCCACATGAGGCCATCAGGCTGAGAGGCACCTAGAACTAGCATGACTAGTTCGCTGGGCCACTTGCCATCAGTCAGGTAGAAACGCCAAGACAAAGTTGACCCGTCTTACATATCCTCCATATTTCAGCGAGCCTCAACCGGGTCTCATAAGAGAGCGACAGAGACTTTGAATCGTCAATTGTCTGCAAGGAAATTCCAGCAGCGAAGGAAATGTTGAATCGTAGAAAGTTGGGTTTGAATTGTCTGCTCTCATTTTTCGCGAGGCTCTTATTACTGCCATGTGCTTCGGTGGGGAGAGTAAGCAGAGAAAAGCTAGCAACGGCTAAGACTGCTGCTAACGCGCCGAGATGTTCTGGCCCTGTAGAAGGACGGTTCTTTGACCAACATTAAGTTCTCTCGTGCTGTCGTATACGGGATAGGCTAAGGTCTTTGTGATATGCAGATGCTCAGTTTCAAGCGTCGAGAAATGTGGTGAAGGCGGGCCAGGTTAATTTAGCCGAAGGGGCGTGTAGTTTGTGGGAGGGCGACAACGACTCAGCGGATGCGCTACGAGATGCTCAGCATGCTAGACTAGAGCTAAAAGTCAAAGACGAGCTCGGAGCTCTATACGGATGGTAATGGTGGAAGGACGTGCACAATCAGCGAGTTGGTGTTCCAGTGCCTTCCGCTGATAGCAAAAGCAGTGACGGCGGTGAGAGATTGCGGTGAGATGCCGGCCAACAGACCAAAGGTAGATTGTCATATGGAGAGTTGTCACCTTGCAGGGGCTCAGAGCGTAGTACTGGAGCAATCGTGGAACCGCAATATCGTTGCTATTGTTGACGTCGAGTACTCACCGAACGCACTTGAAGCATAAGCTCAAGTAGAGAGGGATGTCAACCGGTAGCGGTAGGGAAAAGACGAAAGCAACATCACCGGCTACGGCAACTCGTGCTCTTTGATTAAACAGGCATCATGATGAGCGCTAGGAGGTGAATAGCGTCGTGAACGGTGAGGAACGATGAGGCTAGCGGTTGGACCCTACAACGGGCGGATTGCGGCGACGAGAGCCGGTATCTGTTGCCCGGTATCTGTTGCCGATTCGGGACGTACTTTGTGTGACGGGATCTGTCGATGATCTTTGCTAGTCAAGGTCACATTAGGATGGATGCAGTCCCAAACCCGCACGTCGGGGAGGAGCACCAAGGTGGCTCAGATGGAAAGGGCTGACGACTGTGGTGCTCATAAGACGGCAAACTGCTGCGCGAGTGCCGTGAGCAGATCTGTGCGCTGTTGTAAATTTTCAACTTGCTCGGTGAGGGCCAGGTAAGATGCGACTTGATACGGGATTCATGTGCTGCACCCTCCTCCACACGGCTCTGTATCCGATCCCATGGGGCGCTCTCGGCCTCGCTCGCCGAACGCTACTACCTTTGGCTTTCGTTTATTAGCGTAGCCGCGTCTCCTGATTTCATCGTTTCGAAATGGCTACTGCGTCCAACTAGAGTTGGCCGGACCGATATTTGGAGCTTACAAATGAGATGGGAAGGGGGGTGCATTGTTCGAGGTAGGAGAAGGCATCGCCAGCGGCTTGAATCGACAGAGGAGACCGAATGCGATATGCCGAGACGGAGAAATAAAGGTGTACGTGCATGACGACGACAATGATGAGGATGCCACTGATATGTTGAGGATGGTGGTGATATTGTTTGTGCAGGAAGCAGAATTGCAAACAGAGCAAAGGTTACGAAGAAACTGGTTTGTAAGTTACAGCGCGTCTTGGCCCGAATTTCACGGCTTACGGGTGCTGTACACCCACTGTATATAGTTGGCCGAGCGCTGTAGCTTGATCTTTCATAAGATGCGCACTGAACTTACAGGCGGTGGAGATTCTCGAGCTTGCCAGATTCTAGGGCTGCAGCCTCTACAGATATATGTAAACGACCCGAGCAACCGAGTTACAGCGGGTGACCTCCATTAATATGAGTTTTACAGGGGTCTTGGCAGTACCTACCTACCTGCCTACCTAGGCAGCTAGGTACCTTGCCCAACAGCGATTACAGGGGCTCAATACCTGTATTAAGCGAGTTACAGCGGCAGGTGCCGAGATCGACGTGGTACAAGACACAACGAACACCTAATCCTCGTAGGAGTCTCGTAGGAGTTATTCTGCAGCCAAGTCGCTCTGCTCTGTAGGACTATCCATGCCGAAGGCAAGGTAGATATCTGGGAGCAACAGTGGTATATTTCTCTGGTACATTGACTCGGAAAATCTGAGATTATCAAGGAACTGCAGCAAGCACCAACAGTTCTGTCCTGCTATCGACGTTGCATTTCTCACGGGCCGTTCGGCATCAAGTAAACGAACACCCCCAGTCTTATTTACCATTGACGTGACATCCGGGCCGATTATTCCAAGGAATTAGCATCGATGAGACTTTATTTTCTTTTTTTCAGAAAACAGTGTTTCTAGGGTCCCGATCTCGTTGCCTGCTGTGCCGACATCTACACACACCCATCATATATTACAGCAACCGGCTCACACGGGCCAACTCGAGGTTCCTCTGCATCCCTGTTTCCAGCAATGAGATTTAGATGCACTCCCCTAGCGAGATCCGCACGTTATACTTTCTCTCTCTCTCTCTCTTCTTTTACCTTTTTTTCTTTTTTCTTCTTTTTTCTTTTTCTTTCTTTTTTCATGCTTTTCTTGGCTTATTTTTTCAGTTGGCCTGTGTCCTTTCAGGTCGCCACTCAGCTCGCTGACGCATTACAGCGTTGGTTAGGTAGTCTCGGCCGGGAACTGGCCTCTTTGGGCTAGTAAGCTGGGCTCGAGGAGGCTCTCCAATGCAAGATATCCTGCCGCCAAAGCTTGCCTCCTTACCTTTTATCCGTATCGACCAAATTCCCCATTCCAGTCTGAATTTTCAATTTCATCGGGAATAGCCTGCATGTACCAGTGCTCGTGCGGTTCGGGGCTCTCGCCCTGGTCCCTGCAGCACATCATCAATCCACAAAACTGCCCGTCCTCGGTAACTTTCTTGTTTGCTTATGCCGTCTACATTCAGCCGCTCCAAAGCCGCCTCATCACGCCATCGTTTCTATTCACAAGCTCGCTTCCGTTGGCAATGAAGATATTCCCCGACGCACACTTGTGGGACTCTAGTGACTAACAAGTGTCTGCAGGAGGCGTCATACACAACGCATCTCGATGGCGCGAGACCCGAACAGCAGATCGGCTGTACATTGCTGAGCGAGAGCCACTGTCCCTGGAATAATCGGAAAATCCAGGCACTCTTCCTCAACTCTTCGCAGAATGGTCAAAAAATGTGCATTAGCCGCGGATTTCGCTCATGTCGTAACACTTCATCACCACGTCGTCACATAGTCCGCTCAGCAAGTGACTTGGTGTAATCGCTCGCGTGCATACACACTCCGTCCATACATACACAACATCCGCGACATCACTACAGCTCTAGCTCGTCTGGGGAAGACAAACTAGTGCCCGTCCCTTTTAGCTGTTGCCTAATATCTCTTACGCTAGGCTAGGTCGCCATGTCAATCCCTCACCGGCCAACTGGCGCTCATTGTCAGCCATTGCATGCTCCAGTTTCGCTACAACGGGGTGTTGATTCTTCATTGCAATGCCCTAGCATCAGCTAAACACAGATTACCTTATCAGTATTACTTTACATACATATTACTCTTTCAAATCTCATTACTGCATACACGCGTGCCGCTAATGGTGGTGGCCAATGGCAGGCGACAAATGTAAGCATAAGCACACAAAGTTCAAAGTGAAAGTAAGCATCACACAGTCTACACTGGCTGGCAGCAACACTTTTCTCACCCAGCTGAGCAAGTCTTGTTGACCTTCTCCCCTGTTGCCTTACGCCTTTAACCATCCCGACTTTGGTCGAGACTAGGATCTCGGAGGGCAATGGAGCTTTCCCGAATTACGATGCCATGCACGAACTAGGAATCGGCGGCTCAGATTGGTCTACCCGGGAAAGTAGCGAATCCCGTTCCAAGCTTGACGGGAGCCACGACACGATCTCGATGCGTCTAGACCACGAGTAGTAAGATACTGACACGGAGAAACACAATAGCATCAACTTGCCTCTAGCGGCTTTGTTGGCGTTTGATAGGCTAAACATGCCATCAAGTTACTAGTCGCCCGACTGGCTACTGGACTTTGGCTCTGAACTGCACGCAGCTAATTGACCCGCGTGGGAGAGCACAACGTATTCCTGCATGTTGCTCACCGTGCAGCTGCCACATGCCCGAAATCGTGCGCATTGCGGTATGAAAAGAAAGAAAAAAACACCGCACAGTATGTCATCCAGCTAAGTAGGTGCTGCACTCAATCAACTGCGGAGCTGAGTATATGGTGAGCGAGCTCGGAGTTTGCACCAGCCAATCCAAACGCAGCGCGCCACATGTAACCCAGGTTATAAGTTAGGAAACTCGCCTAAAAAGTTGGACCAACTCACACTATTCTCCATTGTGATGTTTTTTTTCGGGCATGTACATGCCCCCTAGATGCGCTCGGCGCAACGGCAAGCGGCACACGAGCCCGGTGAGCATGACGCATGAGCACCCGAGTAATAGACATCTATACCCGTCGGCGGTCTAACTAGGAGATCGAGACAAGAAGGGTGCGATTTCGGGGAGACAAACGAGCCAGCCGGTGCACGAGCCTTTACTATGCAGGAGCGTTTCTCACCAAATGTGAACCAGGGCATGTAATACTCACACCTCAACCATCTCCATTGGCCCCCCTGTAACAGCAGCCGACTGGCTCTCCATGCGGCTAGAGGGGAGGGGTGTGTATGTGTGATGTGTGCCGTCTTCAGCCTCGTATGCTAGTTAGTTACAGTACACACATGAGCCGGCAGGGGCATGCGGGCGTTTTCGCAGATGGAAGCAAGAAGCGAGAAAATATCAGCAAGTCACAATCAATTTAAATAAATCCTGTATGGCCTACCAATGGCCAGTAGGAATCACAACGCAGATCGCCCACATCTTGGCAGGACGCGCGTGTGTGTGTGTGAGAGAGGATGCTGATTATTCCCTAACGTAGGCCATAAAGAGAAGGTATGGCATCTGCATGTGCACTGCCCACTTTCTGATAATCGCATGGTTTTGCTGCTTCTCGAGACATGAAAGACAAGCACGTCCCGAGAGCGGGAGCGGGAGCGGGAGAGACCGAGCAGAAGAAGCAAGAGAAGCAAGGAGGAGGCAACTAGCTACCGGTATCAAATCGTCTTTCCCCTCCAAAAAAAAGGCAATGCTTAGATCCGTATTCTGTATCGCTGTCCAACTTTTCCTCTCCTTGCCTAGGACAGCCATCGACAGTCGTTGCGGACTTTATACCCAGTAAGTTTTGGCCGTCCGGATACGAAATCGTTTCGCAGCTTCCAAATTGGGAGCGGAGCTGAAAAGGAGAGCTGCATCCAAGGTGTGCGGCCCATCTCAGCCACTGAAAACAAAAAAACCAATGGGAGGATGAGGGAGGGAGCGGCTGAAAGGCTAGTTTGTGGGCAATGCAAGCGCCGGGTCATCTCTGGTGCGTTGCCCACGGACAGTTGAAACAAAACGGCGATGTTTGCGTTGCGCAAGAAAAAAAAAAAGTCAAGCCAAGCAACTTTATTCCGAGCCGTTGCCCACAACGCCTGGAAATTATACTCAGTATCCGTCATGGCAACATATGCTATTGTAATCCGTACCGATCAAACGTTGTTTTTAGCACCATGGACGTTTTACACACAAGGGTTCGAGCTCGAGCAAGGACCAGGTTATGGCTGCCGCTGGGGCTGATCGAGGGTTACATTGGGCCAAGAAGCCTGGACAACGCCACCCCCGAGAGGTGTTGCATTCTTTGGTGGTGTGGTCAAGCCTGCCTGCTGGTCTTGCAGCGAGAAGCCGCCACCAACATCGGGGGCGGGGGGGAGAATAATGATGAATGCCTGGTAATCACGGCTCTGCCATTTGCGGAGCCCAGGGGTCTTTTCATTTGGCTGCGCTTAAAACCCGTAAAGTGGTGTCTGTTGGGACCAACCTTGACCGTACTTGAGCAGCATCTCCGTGGGCTGGCCCTGACGCTACAAATGGTATAGCGGGACCCCTATACGCTGCAACGTATCTGTCCATTGCTGATAATCTTGCCATGGCTCGTAAGGTCGGGCAGTGATGCAAATTGCCCTGTTTTAACCCCCTCCTCGACAGTGATGATGTGCGCACTCGCGTGTCAGGCGGAGGGGTCTATGACTGGTGCAAACACCCAATGTCCAAAAAGGGAAAGAGCGACTTGAGAGGAGAAAAGTGAAAAAAAAAAAGAAAAGAAAAGAAAAAGAAAAGAAAAAAAGAAGAAGAACAGGAAGAAGGAAAAGACCAAACTTGGCATGTACTTGGGGTTCGGCTTTGTGCACCGGGGCCGAAGTTTGATCCGCCAAACGGATATTAATGTTACGGAGCCGGATCTCGAGAACCCGTGGCGCTCTTGTCTCATTTCAAACGCCACGCTGTCGTGTTGCATCACCCTCGGAGTTCCGGTCACGACTGCGAAGGACATTCGAGTTATTTAATTACATTATCTTGTCCGAGAAGAATAACTTGCGCATTGGTGCCCGTTGTATCTCAGAATAGAAATCTTCATTGAGTCAGTGCCCAGAATGCAACGTGTGTTCTGTCATGCTTCCTTTAAAACGCCACTGACATGACTCTTTTCTTCATTCACTCCTTTTCTGCATACAGTGATCGGGCATGTTGGGTTGCCCTTGTAATTTCAGAAGGCTGGAGTTGTGGCCTCGTTAGTCGGCCGAGCCACTGTCGAGTTAGTAAGCCAATTTATCTGGGAAAAAAAAAGAAGAAAAAAAGAAGAAGAAAAAAAAGAGGAGATCCTTTTCTTCAAACCGTAATTGTTCACACCGACATGGTCATGCTGGGGTATCGGAAGAGCGAGCAAGAGCCAAGAGGCACAGCTGTCGCTTGTCCGTTGGCCCTGTCCGGCGGGCTGACCCCTCCTTCAGTGCGGGTACACGCGTCGGCAAGGTTGGGTAACTTGGGTATTATAACTACGGTATTGCCGATTTGGGGTTCTTCGCAGAGCAGTCTTCCAGCGCTGTATCATTTATCAGTTCATCACCCACTGGCCAAGCTAATAAGCCCCAGGTCCTGCCCCGGGCCGTAAGCACCATGGTACCATGATGAGAACATTGGATAAAAAATGGGTAGGGAAAGATGTGCAGTATGGCACTGTGAACCCGCAACAGAAAAAAAAAAAAAAAAGTAGAAGAATGCTCGCTCTCCGAGACAATACAAAGACGAATCGTCACCAGCATGGGATGGGTCAAAATAAGGTGTAAACGAATTGAGCAACCCCATGCACAGCTTCACAAACAAGTGGTTCAGTGGCTGATTTTAAATCAGCTCTCAAACTTCTTCCAGCCCTGGACCCCCCCATGTCCACCAAAGTGGGCAAAGCTGAGAGAGGTAGTGTAAAAAGCGACGTCGTCGAAGCACAAGGCGGGATGACAGCCTTGGTTGGGATGCAAGATGACATTTCTCAGCCATGACCAAGCAAAAACTAGCAGCGCAATCCTGCCAAGGAGAAAACGACTGCCATAGAAAATAGAAAAAAATAAAGAAAAGTCAAATATACTACAAAAAGCCGTACTCTCAGCTGCCCCGGAGTTTTCGGACGAGCAAGGCTAGGTACAAAGTAAAACAAGCCATTCTCAGCCGACGACTTCCTCCGGCGTCCCGACGGACTCCGGCGTCGCGAGCACCAACGCTAAGCACTTCGTGGGCCAAGCCCCAGCGTTTTACTATTGATGCCTGGCTGCGTATTAAACACTCGCCCCTTGCTGCTTGCCTTTGCCAACATGCGTCTTGTGTGTGTGTGGTGTGTGCCTGATGATCTCGCAGGAAACTGGGCACACAACTTGAGCGAGATCTGGCAATCAAAAAAAAAACTTTGACGAACCATGCGGAGATGTCAGCATCCGTCTCCTCCTCCCCTAGCAATATTAATAACTGCGCAGTAATTATTTATTATTCGCGGTGGAAACTGAAGAAGGCTTGCTCCGGATTTCCCATGTCCGCCCACCAATCGTTCCACTCGTCCTTGTATTTGGCCACTTTTCTCAGAATCCCATGGGATGACGGTACCACGGGGGGCGTCCAACGATAACTCGTCCCATTAACTGCTTGTGTTGAGAACCACGCAACAATTCTGGCCTGAGGCGACTTTAATGTCGCCTCTTTTGTTCTTTTGTACGCTTTTCGTGTCTCGAAATAACTGGAGAAGCTTGCCTTATCTGATTACATGATTACATTGCCAACACCGCCAAGTGTAACCACTATGACTTGCTGGCCTTGGCGACCCTGTTTCTCCTCTCTGCCTGCGTTTGCAGCTCCGTTTGCAGCTCCGTTTGCACCTGCCTTTTTTTCTTCCCCCCCCTTTGATTAGAAAACCCGAGAGCATGGTTGGCGGAATCGCGCCCCGGGCCTCGGAAATCGAGGCCGGATATTGTGTGTCTCGCAACAAACCGTTGTTTTGCTTGACGCTTTTCTGCCTTGCGTTGCGCCTCCATGATGCGTGCATCCATCCTCCTTCTTTCAGGCAAATGTGTTGCATGAGACAGCCCTCTCTGTCCATCTAGATTTTTGTGTAAACAAGTTGCACACGCCAAACCCCTCCCTCCCCTGTCTACTGCTCCTGCACCCCATTCTTTGAACCTGGTAGACCATCAACCCCCAAGCCACAATTTGCACCGCTCGTCCGAGTTTGACTATGAGGATTCTGAGGAGGAAGGGAGCTGGGGAGAGAAATCTCACCACTCGACAGACATCAGTCCACAAGTCACCCAACCAGTAAAAAAACAACGGAACTTGACCAACGCAGCAAAGGAGCATATGAAGGGAGCCAGTTACAAAAGATCTTTTTTTTTTTTCCTTTTTTTTTCATTTAAGTGGTAGCTGCTTCAGACTTTATCGTCGTCTGCTTTTATTGACCGCGATTGATTCCTCGTAATTAACTAATATACTGCCAGTCTTCCCCCATCTTCATTCTTGGACCTCTTCCGCGCCACTAGAGATTTTCCCGCTTTTACCATCTAAAATCCGGGAACCCAATCTACACAAGGAGACTTGGTGTAAGTCAGGATAACGCAGGCTCACACACACCATATAAAAGTCCAGTGTGGTCCCTTTGTTGGGCTGACTCTTCCTTTATTTTTCTGCACCAAGCTGCAGGCTGGACAAATCGCACGCCCTCCTCGCTCATCATCATCGTCATCGGCCGCCCACGCCCTTTCTCGGGAGAACTCCAGCGAGGAACACACGCCCTCCCCCCCCCCTGCTGGCCACGCTTCTTTGCCTAGCCTTTTTCAGTGGAGTTTGCTCACCTCTCTATTTCTTGCCATTCGCGACGCCCTAACTAGCGAGTCACAACCACTGTAAGAGAGAGACGGAGAGAGCAGCGCAGCCCATTCCAATTCTCGTTTGTCCCCCCAGCCGTCTCACCGGCTTTGGCCTCCCCGAAGTCCGCCCACCACCCACCATTCACCACCCCCCCCTTTTGGTGGCCAGGCCCAGCATATGCGCATACGCACCACACTCGCTCGCTCTTCATTCCTACTTTGACACGCCCGGGGGCCCTGCTTGAGGCGCACCCCAAGCACGACGACAAGACACCCGACACACACCCGGGAGGGAGTAGGAGGCTCCGCTTTCCCTCTCTATTCGTCGCCGTCGTTCCTTTTACACAAAAGCGCCTTCATGCCCGCCGCATGACGGGTCAGCCACAAACCACAAGGCCTCACAGCTTCCTCCTCCTCCTTCAGCTCATACTCTTCTCCCCCCAATAACATCAACGGGCATCGAAATACATCTCCATCTCATCGCTTCGGGTCGACATCGGAAGCTAGGACGACTACAGCTACAACATTATTATCCTCAGCATCTTGATACTGTCCGATACAACCATCTAGTGGCGATACCACTCTCGGACTTACTTATACACAGCCCACTTCCCGTCGCAGCCGTCACTGAAGAGGCGCCCACCTTCATACAGCCCTCAAACGCCGTTCCCCGAAACCAACATTACAAGTCCGCATTCAATTTATATTGGTGGCGGGCCTCTATCTTTCCCTCGGAGAACGCGCCTTCCTGTCGATTCCTTCACCTCTGCACACACATAGCGACCACTGTCATGGCGACCGATACAGACGCCTCGTCAGCCCCTACAAACTCCCAAGGCACCGACGCTCCAACACCCGTCACCAGTTCCGCCAACGATGGCACCAGCCGACAAGGCGAGGATGCTTTAGGATTCGGCTGGGACGGCAGCGCCTGCCTGTCTACTGCCTTTGCCGTTGCCGGCGCGCCCTCGACATCGAAGCCTTCCTCCTCGATATCGACGTCGCAACCCTGCCAGAAGAAGCGCAAAGTCGACGACTCGGAGCTAGATCCTCGACTCATGGGGTACGTTAATCTCGCAGCACAAGTCGGCCAGGGGAACCGAATTCCCGTTTGGCTTGTTTCCCAAATTCCACTAACAGGATAACTCTTTCCGCCGACAGCGTCTGCCCGACGTCACGGAGCATCGAGGAAATCTCCAAGCGCTCGCTCGACCACTTTCCCAGTCCCGACCTGCTCTTCCCCATGCCGGCCCTCGAGTTTGACTTTCGCATCGCCGTTGCCCTCAACCCCGAGCTGTCGCGCTCCGAAAACAGGGTCCACAAGGAAATCATCACCGTCACAAGCGGCAAGTGGTCTGGCACCTTTGGCAACGGCCGCGTTCTGGTACGCCTTTTTTTATCCATTCCTTTTCCTGCAATAGTCTTATTGCCTTTGCCGTGCTTCCGCGTTGCCCACTAACACCGAGACAACACACAGGCCGGTGGATATGACCTGGGCCAGGCCCGCGGCTTTCGTCCAATCCGCATCGTCGAAGGCGCCTTTGTCCTACAGACAGACGAGGCTGCTCCCGCTGTGTATGTTATCTGCTACCTGGCAACGATTGTTACTTTTGCCATGTTTGCTTGCTCCCCAGGCGGCTAACACTCTGAATCCCCACAGCTTTGAGATGCGCACGCGTGGCTCCCTCTCGGGCCCCTGCAACGTCCTCGACGTCCTTCTGAGCCCGCGCAAGGCCAAGGACATTGACCCTCGGCAATACAGCTTCCGCATGTTCTGCACCGTCAAGGCGGCCGATAAGCGCTACGCCGAGCTCGTCAACTGCGGGCTCTGGGTTGCCAGCGGCGTTTGGAAGGGTGATGAGCTCATCATCGAGTACGTTTCTTCATACTATTTCACGTCTTTCAAGCCTGCCTAGCTAACCATTTTGCAGTGCTTTTCGCGTCACGTAAACACTGAACCACCACTCATCGATAACGACTTTTTTCTTCTGTTTGCTTTTCATCATCACTCGGCGTTATGGTATCTTGGGACAGGTCTAGTGTCTCGACGACATTTTTTTATATTTCGGTTTCTCATTACCATATACTCTTCCATGGTAACTCGCAAGGCTTCGCTTCATGGGTTTGGAGTTTTAGGAAATGTGGTTGCATTTGCATATTGGCGCCCCGGCAAGGTCCTACGGACAAGAAGATTGCTCCGAAGTTTCTGTTGTCTTTTGTCTTCTCATCCGCCTTGTTTTGTTCTTTTTTCTCAGCATACGAATTTTGTTCCCATCAGCGATACCATGTAGAAATAATGCCCACAATACAACGGCAAATGCAAATTATCCCATCGCTTTGCATTTCGTGATTGCTCATCCTCTGTCCTTAGTTGGGCTCCATGGCGGCCCGCCCGTGCGGACATCAGACGCAGAGCCTTATGTCCGAAATAAGCTCGCATCATCTAGCTTTCGGGGACGACACGGCCTATCGGAGAAGATGTGATTCTGAAAGTCACCAGCGACGGGGTTTAGCTGATGTAACGAGAAATTGAAGAAACGCTAGGCCTCTTCGGAAGCTCCATGGACTCCGAAAGGTCCGCTTCTGCCGAGCACAACTTCCGCGCCCTTTAACAACTGTTTTAGTCCGCTACCCCCTCGAATGCGAGAGATTTTCTTGCTGGGCCCTTTGGAGCAAGTTTCAGAATATTGCGAGCGTGACTTGCTTGCTCCGCAGATCCTTTCTTCGTAGTGGCGTTTAACGCCAGGTTTCTCATTTCAGTCCCAATCGGTACAGGGATTTTTTGTTCAGCGGGTGTCACTTCAAGCTCACGACAACCTCTAGGCAACTCAGCCGACGGAGCCTGCTCTCATCCTCCTCTTCCTGCTCCGCCGCCGCGGCGCCGCCCTGCTCTGCCCCCGTCACCACATCATCCACCGTCGACACGGTTCGAGTCCTGACCGCCACGCGGCAATCAGGCTGCTGCTCAAACCAGCCCGCCAAGGCGAGCGTCTTCTCGACCGCCTTGCCGGTGCCCAGGAGCGTGACGGACGCGCCGTACGCCTCATTGTCGCTGCTGCGGCTGCGGCTGCTGTCCCGCTCGACGTCGCGCTTCAGGCTCTCGATGCGCGCGTGCAGCGACGCGTTCTTGCGCGCGGCTTGCGAGCTCCCGCCCGACTTGAGCGACCGGTCTAGCTGCTTGCGCGCGCGCTTCACGGCCGCCATGAAGGGCGTGCTCGACGACACGTAGATGATGCGGTCCTTGGAGGACGCTGGCAGGGGCCGCCGGATGAGCGGTCGCTTGCGCAGCGTGGATCCTGGGGGAAACAGAATCTTTGTCAGCAAGCAATTTGTGGAAAGATTTTGATAATGACAAGTTTGGAGCATGGGAAAGAAGTAAGAGCCTTAATACCTTGAGGAATAGGGTCCAGCTTTGTAGCAGTCCCGATAGCCCTCCTTTGTCGCCCTGTTGCTGCTGCCTTTTCATTATTGCTTGCCATGGTGATGGATTTGCCCGGGCGACGCAAATTTTTGTAGGCAGTTGAGTGAATCAAGGTGAACGTGGCGATTTCGACGGCTGCTTTCAACAGAGATTGCCAATGAACGACTTAAACGTGAGTGGTAAAAAAGAGATGTTTCACGGCGAAAATTATCTAGCATTTTCAGAGTCAAGTCTAGATTTAGGCGAACCGTCGAAAAGTGGTCATAGATGGCCTAGAGTATTGCTAGGGACATGGCGACATTTTACTAAGGATATAGGTACACGTGACGCGCTACTAACACTACACTAGGCTATTATATATATATATATATACTATAATCTATATACTCTTTTAGACTTGCTTAATTTATCGAATTTTACTAACTTAAATATTAATTGTTATATCTAAGAAGGTAATAGTAATATAGATATAGAAGCTTGATTCTTGCTATAGTAGGTATGTAAAAGTCACGCTAAAAAAAAACAACGTGTTACAGTAGCTACCCAAAAGTGCCGCGAAAAAAAAAAGGCATACTACCCTAGAGAGATAAAAATAACTTTAAAGAGCTATAACTAATTAAAGATAAATAATATATAAAAACTATTTAAATAAAATATAGTCTTTAAATATTTATATAAGATATAATAAATAATAAATAATTAAGTATAAAAAGAAAAAAAAAGGTTATAAAACTAATAATATTTTTCTATAATAAATTACTCTATTACTTTAAAGATATATATCTAAATATATAATAAGCTTAAAATTATAAATTAAATATCTTTTAGTAATTAATAATTAAAACTTTATAGCTTTTATTTTTAAAAATATATAATATTTTTATTTAACTAATAATCTTCGTTTATAAAAATAGGTCTTTTCTTAGTTTTATAAAGATTTTAAATATAATAATAATTAATTAATTAAAATACTTATTTAGTTTAAATAAGTTATATTATATTATTAAGATACTTAAGTTACTTATTATATCTAATAAATAATTTTTAGTTAACGTAGTTAA